TCTTATGCTTGAATTTAATGCCAGAATTCCTGGTGTATCTAATCTGAACATGCACATGTTGGTAATATGTTTGCATTGGAGAGTATTTTGTGGATTAAGTCCACAGTATACTCTATACTTGTGGAATAGTTTTTTTTGTTGTTGTTGTTTGTTTGTTTGTTTGACAGGCAGAGTGGAATAGTTTCAATCAATACCAGTGGATATGTCCAGTATTGAGTTTCCAATGCAGTAATCTTCCATGATCTTCCATGCTTGGTTGTGAGATGTTCTTGACCAACGTATCCCAGGAGTTATTATGATTTACTATCTTTAATTGTCCAAAATATGGCAAGTTGGGAAAATCAACTACACATATTGTAGTTGTGTTTGTGTTATTGTATTCTTTATGGATTTCTTGTGGACAGGTTAGTCCGTGTCGGAAGGGTACTGGTTCTTGTGGTGGAGTGAATCTCAGATATGTGGTTGGCAATATGTTTTTTTTTTTTTTTTTGGTAGCTTTAGTAGTAGTTGCTTAGTAGTAACAGAAGTAGGAGTGGCAGTGGTGGGAGGAGAGGAAGAGATTTCTTCTCCTTCTTCCTTCTTTCCTTTTTCTCCTTTTGCGTCTTCCTCCCTTCTTCTCATTCATATTGATCATATTCTACCTCATATTCATTGATATCTTCTACCATGTTGGATTGATACCAAAATTGGTGCTGAAAAGAATTCGAAATTGATAGCACTCTTGCAGTTGAATTGTCCATTAAATGACGGTTCTAATTCTTTGTCAGTTTCCATGGGTGGATTTATTTTCTTTCTATCTGTAGCATTTCCCAGGTTCATTGATTTGTAGGATTTGTACTATATCTTTTCCTAGTATTTGCCAGTAGTATGGGTATGTGGCTTTAGATGCCATACTTTGTCTCCAAATTTCTAATTCTTCACATCTGTGTTGGTCTGTTGAATGCATCAATGGTCCTTCCTTTGTGATATCAAAATTTATATAGTGCCAAATACTGTATCGCTTGTTTGCTTTATAATACTCTTCACATTGTGACTTGTAGACACCTTTATTTATGTGGAAACAGAAAGCATATTTACCATAAAAACTTTCCATATAGCAACTATTTTTGGCAAAGTATCCAGCCACTTTGGTGATATTTTCATCAAGACATTTCCATATTGTTGATATAATTGTGGGTTGGTTTGGGTTTGGTGGAATTACCGGTGTCACAGTCTGTGTTGTAGTTCCATAGCTTCTTGGAATCTAGCAGTACTCCAGGGCACTCCGGGGGGACTTTGGGTTGTAATTTGAAGAATTTGAAGGATGATATATGAGATAATGAGATGTCTCATAATTCTGTTTCATTTTGGAAGTAGTCATAAAGACTTCAAGATGTCCTCTCATTGATTATGCCAACGATTGGTATAACATGGTGAGGTGATGGATACTCAGTTGTGGGAGTAATTAGTCAGTGTGGGTTATTGTGTATTGAATTATATCTTCTTAGTTCCTGTCCTCCTCAGTTTCATCATCAGTCAGGATTATATCTTCGTAAGTCTCTTCTATTTTTGTACACTCTTGGATTCTATCTTTATCTATTTCATCTGTTTCCATACACTGTTGGGCTCTGTCTTCACATGCTTGGACTGTATATATGATTGGGAATTGATCTGGTGTAAAGGGTGATGAATGGAATCTTAGTATAATTCTTTCTGGGCTCTGTAGCTCTATGGTATATGTATATGGGTTTGTTGCAATTTTAGTTCAGTTATTAATATTCATTAGATGTTATTCTTTTAAGATTTCAATCAAATAGAATGTGTAGTTGGTGATGAGCTTTTTCTGCCACTCACTGCCATTCACATGCTGTTCATAGAACGTATAACGTCCATACAGGACAACTGCAGTAAAGAGTAGGCAGAGGGGCTAAAGCTGTGGCATAGTGGGTAAAGCCACCGCCTGCATTGCCAGCATTCCATTTGGGCGCCAGTTCTAGTCCCGGCTGCTCCACTTCCGATCCAGCTCTCTGCTATGGCCTGAAAAAGCAGTGGAAGATGGCCCAAGTCCTTCGCCCCTGCACCTATGTGGGAGACCCGAAAGAGGCTCATGGCTCCTGGCTTCGGATCAGCGCAGCTCTGGCAGTTGGGGCCAGTTGAGGAGTGAACCAGTGGATGGAAGACACCTCTCCCTCACTCCTCTCCCCCTTCTCTCTGTGTAACTCTGACTTTCAAATAAATAAATAAATCTTTTTTTAAAAAGCAGGCACTTTCATTATTAAAAAAAGAGTAAGCAGATTATGTATATTGTAAGTATTATAATTTTTGATGAATCTTGAAATTGGTTTTACAGAGTCGCACAGGCAGATTGGCATCCTGTCATCAAGGTAGGTCAGTACTATTCAGTGTCAATGTCAGTGTCAATATCAATGTTGTCAGTGTCACAATCAATACTCAAAAGAATGTTAAGTCTTCAGAAATCCATCCAAGGGCAGTGATGGCCCTCCAGAAGCTAATGATGGCTTCTATTATTGAGGGTTTCAGGATGATGAATTTACAAAAACGTAAGTTGGTCCCTCTTTGAGAGTTCTAATTGTCCTTTTTTGCCTGTGGTCCAATATCTTTTTCCTGGTCCATTCGCTATAATTTCCTATGGGCATAATGTTTGGTCCCTAAAAGCTTTCTTAATTACCTCATATGGTTTTATTTTGGGTTTTGAATTTTGTTGTGGTATTTCTTCTAATAAGTCATTGGCATTTTGTATTGTACTTTAACTGTGTGGGATTTCCTTCTTTATTCTTGGTCTGGAGTTTAATTCGTAAACTGTAACTTCTAGGGCATTTTGTAATTTTTTGTTATCATTATATTGGAGTATTTTATTTTTAATTAATAGGTTAAACTTTGCCATATTGCTGCTAGTTGTGGGTTATATGCCATAATTCTATATTATGTCAAAATTTTGTGCCCATCTTTTGACTTTAGATCCTGTGAAATGGGTTCCCTGATGGCTTTCAATCACTATTGGGACACCAAAGTGTGAAATCCATGTACATAATGTATTAATGGTGGCATCCCGGTTTGGGTGTTTGTATTCTTTAGCTATTCCCAGCCTTGTTCGAGTGTCTACTATTGTACATGCATATTCGTTTTGGAACTTAGATGATGGTCTTATTTGTAGTAAATAGTTAAACGTTTTAATTTTATAATTTGATGGGGGTTCTCTGTGTCTAAATCTCTGTTTTATATTTGGTCAACCCTTGCATCTTTTAATAGTGTTTTTACATTGTTGCCACAAAATGGATAAGTTTCTATCCGTGACCCTTTTATGGATTCTGTATGTTCTTGTATGTCCCAACCATTGAAGTATTTGGATCATTTCTTCATTATTTTTAATGGGTTGGTATTAACTATTTTCCAGTTGGGTTTTCTTTTTAATTTTAGTGTATTTTTTACTTTATATTCTCCTTTGTCTTTAATTATTTTTAATTTAGGTATATCTACTTTCCAATTATTGATATCCTTTTTGGTCTTCATAGTTGCTACTTTTGAGCTATTTTACTAAGTTTATGATTGATTTTATTAGTCTGGGCGTCTACATGAGTACTCATTATTTTAAGTGTTGATTTGGCGATCTTTATCCATGTCTCTTTGGCCCATATATCTTTACTATTAATTTGCCAATTATTTTGTTTCCACTTACTAGAGCAAATTTCAGTTGCATTGCCTGCACACCAGCAGTCACTGAAAATGTAAATGAGCTTGTTTACTTCCTGGATTGTCCTCTCTACTGCATAGTCTTACATCTTGATCAATGTTGTTCCATTTGATCTGGGCATAAAAGGAGGCTAAGTCTTACTTGGGGGAAGGCTTGCTGCCAAGCTTGCACTACCCGGTTGAAAACTGACTATTCATTCTCCATATAATCATCTGTTATCCAACAGAATGTATTGTGTACTACCTGTTTTCCTGCTAGTCCTGTGAGAGTGTTCATTTCTTGTCCATTAACTGTAACGCCCTTAGCTCCTTCAGTCTTGAGCTTATATAAGAACTTGACGTCTGGAGTCTCCTTTTGTGCAAAATCTCGCCTATATTTTTGAAGGTCAGCATGCGTAGATTCTCCAGTTTCTATGCTGACTTCGGGATCCCTTGTTCTTTGAGTCCTCATTTCCTTATTGGTTGTCTCTGGGAAACTGGATTTAGACTCCTTGTTCTCAATGAATGGATTATGTCTTGAGAATGGGTTATTTCTATTTTTCTCTGTTATTCATCTAGATAGCTCTTTTCCTTTAGACCAGTCTGTGTCAGTGTCCGCAATAGTCTTACACAGTATTGCGGGGACCTCATTTAGAAGTGCTCTTGCTAGGACTGGCTCCACTGAATTGTAACATCAGTCCTTTTGTTACTTTTTGGAAGTTTTTCCTGGGTAATTTGTTTTATTTTACACCAGAGACTTTATAACAATAATTCTTTTTCCTCTTTTTTTTCCCAATTTTTAATTTTTTCCCAAATTTTACCCATCTCAGTTTATACCTGGAGTTGTTATTGAGGTCAGTTATGCTATACCAGTGGCCAGTTTGGTTGGCAGTTTAACCTACTTTTCCCCCAAGTACCACCTAACCTTCCCACATATATCTCTAATGTTTCCTAGGTTGTGAAATTCCCATTCTTCATAATCATATATCCTTTTTGACAGCCAGCCTTGCATTTATGGTGGCTCTTCTGATTTGGAAACCAGTTTCATTCCTACCAGAGCTGGTCTTACCATGGTTTGTACCACAGGTGCGTTTTGGAGGTTGCTATTCTGGTGCTCCCTTTGTCAGTTTGGCTGAATTTAGTTGGGTGCTGGCTCGCCCCTGCCAGAGCCGATCTCACCACAGCACTAGGCCACAGGTGTCTATTGGAGGTAGCTACTGCCTGAATACCTATGCCGGGTCTCAAAGGCCTGGATGGAATTTTTATGTATGCCTACTGTACCAACAGTTGCCAGCATAGTAAATGGCACCAAGGCAGCATTGGTTCCAGTAAGGATTTTATTATGCAGTGGGGAAGTCACATGCATTGTTTTTTTATTTTATTTTATTTTTTAAACAGGGGCTGATGTTGTGATACAGCAGGTTAAGTCACTGCTTATGGTGCTGGCATCCCATGTTGAAGTGCCAGTTCAGGTCCCAGTGGGTCTACTTCCAATCTAGCTTCACACCAATGTGTCTAGGGAGGCAGCGGATGATGGCCCATGTACCCAGGTCCTTGACATGATGTGGGAGACCAGGATGGAGCTCCTGGTTCCAGATTTCAGCCCGGCCAAGCCCTGGCTGCTGCAGCCACCTGGGGAGTGAATCAGCACAGGGAAGACGATCTCTCTCGCTCTCTGCCTCTGCCTTTCCAAAAGAAAAAAAAAAAAAAAAGAAGTCACACGCTTTAATTCACGCAACACACTGGGCAAAGCCTAACCCTAGGGTTCCTAAGTACCCTCTGTGCTCCTCGAAGTGTGTCTTAGCCACAGAGGATATCCACGTGGGTGGTGCCTTGGGCCAAAGAATGTAGGTCTTAAAGGGTGAGCAGAGGGGCCGGCGCCGTGGCGCACTAGGTGAATCCTCCACCTGCGGCACCAGCATCCCATATGGGCGCCGGGTTCTAGTCCCGGTTGCTCCTCTTCCAGTCCAGCTCTCTGCTGTGGCCCGGGAGGGCAGTGGAGGATGGCCCAAGTGCTTGGGCCCCTGAACCCTTATGGAGACCAGGAAGAAGCACCTGGCTCCTGGTTTCAGATCGGCGCAGCTCTGGCCATTGTGGCCATTTGGGGAGTGAACCAATGGAAGGAGGACCTTTCTCTCTGTCTCTCTCTCTCACTGTCTGTAACTCTGCCTGTCAAATAAATAAAATAAAATCTTTTTTTTTTTTTTAAAAGAGGGCGTGAGTGGAGTCAGGGCATCGGACCAGCCCCAGACTGGCTGGGAGACTCCCTTGCGGAAAGCTCTGAGTGCAGTGGGTCGACCTGGAGCTGTCACTCTGCCGCCCTCAGGAGAGGCTGTTCAGAGAGTCTTTGGAGGCTGCTTTGCTGGTGGTTTATATTCGCTTCGTCGTGGCCTTGTCGGTCACGTGCAGTCCTCATTGGTGGGTGGTGCCGTCATGGGTGGCGTCGTTTGTCTTATGTTTCGAGGCAGATTAACTTCTGTATGCTCCTCATACTTAACGCCAATGGGGCAGGTCGTGTTCTGCCTCCCTTGTTGAAAGTGTAAGACGCACTCGGGGCTGGCACTGTGGCGCAGCAGGTTAATGCCCTGACCTGAAGTGCCGGCATCCTAAATGGGCGCCGGTTCTAGTCCCGGCTGCTCCACTTCCGATCCAGCCTCTGCTATGGCCTGGGAAAGCAGTGGAAGATGGCCCAAGTCCTTGGCCCCCTGCGCCCTCGTGGCAGACCCGGAGGAAGCTCCTGGCTCCTGGCTTCGGATCGGTGCAGTTCTGGCCATTGCTGCCAATTGGGGAGTGAACCATTGGGTGGAAGACCTTTCTCTTCTCTCTGTCTTTCCTCTCTCTATGTAACTCTGACTTTTGAATACATAAATAAATATTTTTTAAAAAAAAGTATAAGACACACACAGGCTCCTGGCAAGTCCAGACAAGTTTGTTGAAAGGACGTTGTTCCCTGAAGGGCAGCCTGAGACTGGAGTCTCATGAAATTACAAAACCAATAGAAATGTTTGAAAATATACTCAGGCTCCTTACTGCTGTGTTGGATGCAGCTGTTTATCACCCCAAATGTGCTGGATTTCAAAGAATCTGAGCCCCACAAGACCAACAGAGGTCTGCTGCCTTATCTCTCAGGGCTCCCCTGTGCATGGAGACGTCTAGATTCCAGACAGACCGGGTGAAAGATGGGAAGAGTGGGCAGGGAAGCATGCTGGCGCCCTGGGGGTGGCTCAGGGAGTCCTCTTGGCCTGAGCAGCCACATGATTCGCCTCCTTTCCTAGGCAGGGACACAGCCTTTTTCTTGTGAAAACTAGCCACGCAGAGAGTCTGACTCAGGAAGTACCTGCCTTGCCTTGAAGAGAAAATGAAATATTCGTGGTCACGGGATGCCCACGGTGAAACGAGGTCTACTTCCAGGCCCCTCTCCCTACTTGGCACACCCCTCCCTTTGGAAAGGTGGTTGCAAATTGTGGGGTGGCGGGAGTCAGCAGGTGTAAGAGGGGGCTGTGCTTCCTGTGTTTCAGTGCTGACTTGGGGCCTTGGGAGTCACGTACTAGGCTAGAACGTTTTAGAAGAGCACCTTCCAAACAGCAAACGCGCACCACTGCCCCCGTCACTGACCTGCTCCTGCAAGGTGGGTCTCCTCGGTTGGTATACAGCAGGGATCCAGGGACTGGCCCATGAGTGTCGGGAGCAGAGCAGTGGTGCCTGCAGGAGTGGGGCTGGGGCAGGAAGAGGGGTGAGGCCCAGGCCAAACCTACGAGATCGGCTTCTTGTTTCCTAGATAGATGACAGCTGTGACATTTGGGGTGGGACAAAGCCTACTCAGTCCTTGATAAGCCTTCTGTCCTCCTCTTCTTGGGTTCACAGCCAAACCCTGTTTCCCAGCCTCCCTGGCACACAGATGTCATCATGTGACCGCCTTCCAGCCAGTGAGACAGGTGCAGAAGTCTCCATGGAGGCTCCTATGCTTGGCCCCTCTCTCTTCTTGTTGATTATCAAGGTCAGTGTTCACTTTCCTGCTGATGCTTATCTGGCAGTACAAGGCTACCCTACCCCACCTCACCTCCTTGTCAAATTGAAGAAGTTGATGGGCAGAGAGGGGAAAGGGGCATCTGGAGGTCACACAGAGGAGAAAGCAGCCAGAGCCCAGTCCCCAGCTCATGCTCTGCTGCCTGACAGCTGGCCTGTGGAGGACTCTTGGCTCTTAGAAACCTCTGACTGTCATAATAATAGCTGCGACTGCAAGGACTGGGGCAGGAGTTAGGACTCTAACTTAGGTCAAACTGCCCAAATCACCCTGAACAACACTTACCTGAACTCCTAAAGCTCTAATACACACACAAGTTACCGTAATAACAGGTGTAGACATTCAACCAGCAGATATTACAGAGAATCTACTGGTGCCAGACAGTTCTCTGGATGCCGGAGAATCCAAGTGAACAAGCTGACGCACACACCTGCTGCTCGGAGGGAACAGAGAGAGGAAGATGATGGACACCAGAGAGTAAGAGATGCTAAAGATAAACAGAGACCAGGGGTTTGCAGGTGACATGGGCTGCTGTGTTATATGGAGGGTTGGGGAGAACAATGTGAAGATGTGACACAGAAGAAATGAAGGGTTATATCACCCTGCTGTGGCAGGACAGCATGACATCTGGTGGGTACTCATTGGTCATCTTTGATGCTGCACATTTGGATTTGTCCTCCACGTTTTCAACCAAGGCATTATCTTAAACAGAAAGAGATTTGGATTAAATCTCGATTGTTCTCCTGTTGGCTTCAGCTTGCTCATGATTTCATGGGTCCACCTTAGGGTAGAATTTTTTGTTTTTCCCCTCCAACCATCGCTATCTGTAAACCCTCTGAGAGCACAAAACTTGAGTGTGTAGGGTTGACAGGCAGGCAGGCAGGCAGGCAGGCACTGGCTCTACCATGTGCTCTTTTTTTTTTTTTAAGATTTATTTGTTTATTTGAGTAACACAGAAGGAGAGGCAGAGTGAGAGACAGAAAGAGTGAGCGAGAGAGGGAGGGAGGGAGGTCTTTTATCTGCTGGTTCACTCCCCAATTGGCTGCAATGGCTGGAGCTGCGCCGATCTGAAGTCAGGAGCTTCTTCCGGTCTCCATGAGAGCGCAGAGGCACAAGGACTTGGGCCATCGTCCCCTGCTTTCCCAGGCCATAGCAGAGAGCTGCATTGGAAGTGGAGCAGCTGGGACTCAAACCCACGCCCATGTGGGATGCTGGCACCCCAGGTGGTGGCTTTACCCACATGCCACAGCTCTGGCCCCTACCATGTGCTCTTGAGTTCCCCCAGACCCTCTCTGGGCAGACCTGAAAGGTGAGCCCCAGGCTGAAGGAAGAGCCAGGGCCAGCCCTCTGGGAAGAGGGGTGCTCGTGCTCCGGGAGATTTTGTGTAAAGGGGTGGTGTTGGTGCTTCCTCCTAGGGCTGCTCTGAGGTTATGACAAGCAGCTGCACCTCCCACTGCACTTGGAGCCACCCCGCCTGTGCCTAGCCACGTTTGGAGGGCACGAAGCCTTGCCGCCCTGCACAAGCCCTTGGGTGGGAGAGTCGTGAGGGGTCCCTGGTCCCAGGGGCTGTGTCACCTCCCAGGCAAGCCCCCCCCACTCTGCTTTAATACCACTGTCACTGGCTTTGCCCATGCTTTTAAAACATACAAGGGGGCTTCAAAACATTCATAGAAGATGGAATTAAAAGACAAATTTATTTTGTTAAAAAATTTTTGAAATACATGCATAGAGGGATTTTCAAAAAGCCCATGGAATTACATATTACAGTAAACTATGCCTGGGTTTCAAAATCTTCTTGCACTAAAATAAACTTATCTTTCAGTGCCATCTTCAGAAGTGGGTAGGCAGATAGTGAGAGACCAGGAGCTAAGGACTGTCAACACCCAAGCCATGTGCACCCTCAAATCCCATCGCCTTCTGGGCTGATTCAACATGGCTGAAGACTCAGCACACTCACTCCCGTCATGCAGCTAAGCCCCACTTTCTGTCAGCTACCAGACACCATGACAGCTTCCTAGAGACCACCACGTGTGCTAAAGCCCTACCCCAAACTCTGCCTGCTTTGAACATTCAATCAGGCCTTGCCCTGAGCGTCACCCCCTGCCTGGTTAGGGGGCCGTGGTCTCTCATGACGTTGCCCACACTCACATCTGAGTATGTACTGTCCTTTGTGGCTCAGTAAATCCTGCTTTTCTGCTTACCTCTGTCTACATCTCCCAGTTGTCTTCCTGTACACGGGAAGACAAGAACCTGGGCTAAGTCCAGCAGAGGGTCTCTCTGAGCCTGTCTGGGGCTCTTGATCCTTGCAACATAATCAACATAATCACAATATTTCCACAAATTTTTGAAGTACTCTTGGACTTAACCTGTATGCTTCATTTTCACAACAGCAAAAGGGAAAGTAAGTCAGCTTTGGACTCATCTTCCACAGACAGCCTTCCTAAGTCTTGGGAATATTCCAGTATCCTGCTTTTTTACTAAATATTTTAACAGTTGAGAAATCATCCTGCATTATCTTTTCCTCTTCCTACCCGTTTGTTTGCTCTCTTGGTTTGCCGTAAGAGGTACAGCATATGTGAAGGAATTTTCCTCTACCCGGGGTTTTGGAAATCATTCAGAATGATTCTTTGGTCTCTGCTGGCTGAGATAGGTGCTTTATTTTATGAGTCTGCTACTTAGAATCAGAAGTCATGAAAATGAACATAGTTCCAGGACAGAGATTGATCCCTGTTACAACAAAAACCTCCTTTTCATGAAGGAAGGCTATAACAGAGACACAAACACACATGTCCAGTACCCAAAATGTCCATAGGAATTGTCCCTGTTGAGGGAGAACCAAATCACCTTGGGCAGAGACTAATTAGTACTGCAGTTGGGAAACCACCGAGTCAAACCACCATGAAAAAATGTTTCAAGGTTTTGCACAATGGTGGCCACAGCTATAGCTTAAATTAGCAAGGGAATGGTGGTCACGTCACTGGCTTGTCAGGAATTGTGATGGGTGCCATCCAGTGGCAAGATGACTTTAAGAAAATGATTGGGTGCGTGGGCATTGCAGAACAGTGGGTTAAGCCCCTGCTTGAGATGCCAGTATCCCATAAGGAGATGCCAGTTCAAGTCCCTCTGCTTCCAGGCTAGCATTCCTGCTAATGGAAGACAGCAGGTGATGGCTCAAGTGCTTGGGTTCCTGTTAACTCTGTTAGCTTGGCCCACACCTGACTGTTGCAGGCATTTGAGGGGGTGGGGTGAACCAGCAGGTGGAAGAACTCACTCTCTCTCTCTCTCTCTCTCTCTCTCTCTGCCTTTCAAATAAATAAATGGATCCTAAAGAAAAGAAAATGGTTTTGTTTTCCATCAGCTAATCTAAGGTTGAACTAGGTGTAAGTATTAGAAGGTGAAGTTCCAAGTCAGTGTGAAGAAAAGTGACTAGGGCTCTGCTTTCATATTTTAAAATTTTATTTCTCCTAATAAAATATTCTTTCTTACTACAAAGAAAGGGAAAAAAAAAGGTTGGGAGTTCAACCCTTAGGTCCTTTAAGAGAAGCAAGGGGAGGGGTTACAAATGGTTAACGAAAGTGAGTGGATGGCAGTTTGACCCAGTGCAGAGGTCAGCACGAATCTGGGGCATACGTGCTTTTGTGCAGGAAGCCCAGGTCAAAGGTGCCACTGTACACGTGCCGGAAAGCTCGCTCGCCAGTGGCCTCCCAACTCCATCTCCAGTGCCCTGAGCTGATCCTGCCTCATTTTGATTGTCTTCCTTGACACACATCAGTGCCTTTTCTTCCCTTTTGGCTTGTTTGTATCTTTCCAGTCTTTCCATTCTTAGTAGCTCAAAAGCCTTCATTGTGACTTCTGTTTCAAGACCTTAAAAGGGTCTGATGTTCTACAACATTTTTTTCTTGGATCTTCAGTCACATTTTAGAGAGATGGAATCTCCAGCTGCCCTGGTTGCCTCCAGACCCTACTGCAAGAACAGCAAGGGGGCACATTGGTCAGAAAGTAGGCAAAGGTCACCCTTTGCTTCATTTTACTACTAAGATCTCTGCCCCAGGCGGAGCGTAAGCCTTAGTACTATAACACATAGCCTATGTTGGCATATGTGTCTGCGTGGACTTGGACCCACCCTTACATGTGATGACAAGACCTTCCCTCTTACAGGTTACAGAGCTTTTCATATGAGGGCCAGTGTTGTGGTACAGCAGGTTAAATCACCACCTGCAACACTGGCATCCCATATTGAGGACTGATGTGGGTCCTGGCTGCTCCACTTCTGATCTAGGTTCCTACTAATATACCTGCTCGGGTAGTGGAAGATGGGCCCCTGCCACCCATGTAGGAGACCTAGATGGATGTACAGGCTCCTGGTTTTGGCCTGGACCAGCCCTAGCTGTTGCAGCCAATGAGGAATGAACAAGCAAATGGGTGCACTTGCTTGCTCTCTCTCTGTCTGTCTCTCCCTCTGTGTCTCTCCTCATCCCCACCCCTCTGCCTTTCAAATAACTAGATTTTTTTTAAATGAAGCTACTTCAAAAAGTTCATGAAAGATATATATTATGAAAATGCAGTGCACCAAAATAAACTTCTCTTTAAGTTGCATTTTCCACAGACTTGAAGTGCTGTTGTGTCTTAGTTGGTATTGTGATCTTTAGGGAAATGCTATACCGAGACAGCTTATCAACCTTAGCTGATGTCTGAACTCTGAGCTGAGGGGAATCCTTGCAGACTGATCGCTCATCATTGGGACTCATTTTGGAAACCCCTGTTGCAGAGCTCTGACCCTGTGAAGAACTAAGGATATGTTCGAGTCCCATTAGGTCAAGTTCTGTTGTGATTGGCATTGTTGATGGAAGCCTTGCTAAGCTGCAACATTTGAGACACATCAGCTCTCCGAGCCAGAGCACTGCTGAGATCTCACTGGCAGATGAAGATGTCCACCCTAAAAGATTTGCAAAGTAGAAAGACTTTCAGGGCCATTTGTTTCCTAGGATCACTGAACTTTTGGTTTGGCAGCCACTGTAGGCCTTGGATAAACAGAAAGAATATCTTAAATTCCAATCATGTAACATATGTGTGCAAATCAAATAGTCCAAAGAGACTAGAAGGGATGAAGGAGAGTCAGTATAGCAGACAGGTCAGAGGCTGAGCACATGTACCTGGGCCTGCATAGCAAAGGCTCGACCTCCAACTGCCAAGACCACGCGTTTGCTGAGGCCTTCCTCTGGCCATTGAAGCTAGCAGTGCAGAGGAGTTGGTGCAGAGCAACCTGAAACCAGTGACCGATGGGAGCTGGTGCATAAACATCCAGCTCCCCGGTGCGGTAGAAGAGCTGATCTGAGATGCCTTGTCTCAGAATTCCTCAAAGGGTATATTTCCAGCTGCCTCCTGCGGCGTCCGCTTTGATGCATCGTTGATTGCTTGTCTTCCCTTCTCTGCCTCACTTTCTCTGTGGCGAAGGTTTGCCCTATGGGAGTTTCTTTCCTGGCAAGACTGCAGGTATGAAAGCTCACTTTTCTGGCTATCCTTGATTCTCCAAACCAAGATCTGACCACTCTAGGGGGTTCAGAACAGTTCCATCGTCTTCCCGACAGAGGGCAGCATTTCGTTTTCTATCACAGCGAGATGTGTTCCTGGGCTTGCAAATGACTCCAGCTCAAAATAAAGAAAAACAAATTGAAATGAGGATTTTAATCACTGTGAAAGGAATGAAAGGCTGTGTCAGCAGTTCCGTGGTAAGTGCCGTCATTCAGGGATTTATCATCTCAGCTGTAAAAATACGCCTTACGCTAGGACTTGGCATGAGCAAGCCTTCAGTCGCTTAAAATCTATATATTATTGAAGATTCTACTTTCAATCAAGTGGGAAACGTGACTCTGTAAATGCGGCACAGAACACTCCTCTGGCCACTGCAGCTGCCAAGTTCTTCCTGCCACGTTCACTGCCAACCAGCTCAACATGGAGAAGGGACAAAGACATGACAGCTGGATCTTTCCAGAGGCCGCTCTGTGCTCTGGGAATAGCTACACTGAGGAAGTAGGCCCAACTTTATTTTCCAGTGGCAAAGTGGTAGCCCTTGTGGAGTCTTGTGGGTTTGTAGGTAGCACTTCTCTGAACACCAGTTCACTTGCTCCCTCTCCCACTTCCCAGTCCCCAAGGCCACCACGTGGTGGTGGTGGGGTGTGGGGATGCATCAGCACACACAACCACACAGTCCACTTGGTTCTTGGTTCATGATGCTGAGACAACTCCAGACACCTTGGGAGGAAACAACTCAAGGAGCGCTGATGAGAAGCCTTGGTTGTATCCTGACTTTACCTTGCAACCTGATCTCCTGTGGTCTGCGGGGGATCAAGGCAGTTAGACCACATTGTCTGCTAAAAGAGAAAGCAAAACTAGGCCCTTTCTGAGCCTTTTTATCATGTCCTGTCAAGTCCTGCTTGGTTTTAAGTAAGACCAAATTTGTGGAAGCTCTACTATGTCCTTTAGTTGAAATAGGGTAGTTGGGGTGGAGGAGGGTTCTTCATGAGAAAAGACAAGAAGCAAGAGCAGAACATCGGCGTTTTATGAGCTGGAGTGAATTGTTAGACTGGGTTTGGAGCATCTGAAAAATCCTGCCCCCAGAGCAAAGTGAAGAGGCTGGTCAGACCTGTAGAAGGAACATTTAGGGAATTGCATGTCCATAGCTGGGAAACTTTGGTGTGTTCTTGACAATCTACAGAGCCAAATGGGTATCCTGCGAGCCTGCTCGGGAGAAAGATGGAGCCCCACCTCTCATCTCTTGCTCACACTGAGCTGAGGCCGAGCAGTGACCTGCTTGACTATTCAAGGCTCACTTCCGCATACACAGAGCCCTTTGGCAAGGGCGGAAAATACGTTGGTTTAAGGAATTTAATGCCCTCTGACCAATCAGGACCTGACACCTACACAAACTGAGCAGACACTTCAGTGTCCCTGTTCTACAGGAAGTGATCCTGCAAAAGCACTAAGTAAGCAGAGTGACAACAAGCAAGAACACCAACGACCCTGGGGACAGGCTGTTCTTATTCTCACATCTTCTACACTATTATCTAAGATGTCCAATTTTCAACAAAAAGTTATGAGACATGGAATAAACAGGAAAGTATGACCAACATATGGGGAGAGGGGAGAAGCAATCAATAGAAACTATCCATAAATAAGGTCATACATTGAATTATTAGACTTTAAAATATGTTCAAGTCATTAAAGAAAGCCAGGTCTAAGGAATTGAAGGAAAATACTGCAAATTCCCATTGAATAGGTAGTTCCAATAAAAAGACAAATTATTTTTAAAAAAGAGTCAAATTGAAATTTTTTAGTTGAAAAGTGTAAGAACTGAAATGAGAAATTCACTGGAGGAGTTCTGTAGCAGATTTGAGAAGAAAGAATGAGCAAACCAGAGCATCAGTCAGTTGAGATTATCCATTCTGATGAAGTGAGAGAAAAATGAAGTGACAGTATCAGAAATCCAGAGGATTCCCCCAAGTGTACCAATATTTGCATAACAGACTCAGAGGAGAGGAAAGACAGAATGGTACAGAAAAAGTATTGGAAGAAGTAGAGGCTGAAAATTCTCAAATTTGATTGAAAATTTTAATCCATACATCCAGGAACCCCAATAAAGTCCAAGTGTGATAAATTCATATGCACCAATACGTGTCCTAGTCAAAATATTGAAGGTCAAAGACCCAGAAAACATCTTAGAAACAACAAAAGAAAAATTACTGTCCACAAACAAGAGCTTTTTAATAAGACAAGCGATGGAAATTCTTATCAGAAGTGGCAGACAGAAGGCATTTGGATGACATATTTAAAGTGTTGAAAGAAAAAGGCTATGAATTCAGCAACACTATCCTTCAAAAATAGAAGTAAAATTAAGATATTCTAGATTAACAAAAGCTGAGAGAATTCATCAATAACATATATGCTTATTATTTTTTTTACAGGCAGAGTGGAGGGTGAGAGAGAGAGAGACAGAGAGAAAGGTTTTCCTTTTCCGTTGGTTCACCCTCCAATGGCCGCTGTGCCCGGTGCACGGCACTGACCTGAAGTCAGGAGCCAGGTGCTTCACCTGGTCTCCCATGCGGGTGCAGGGCCCAAGCACTTGGGCCATCCTCCACTGCACTCCCAGGCCACAGCAGAGAGCTGGCCTGGAAGAGGGGCAACCGGGTCAGAATCCGGCACCCCGACTGGGACTAGAACCCGGTGTGCCGGCGCCACAGGCGGAGGATTAGCCTATTGAGCTGTGGCACTGGCTATGCTTATTTTTTAAAAAAATTAATTTATTTGAAAGGCCAAGTTACAATGGGTGGGGAGGGGGGAGACAGAGAGAGAGAGAGAGAGAGAGAGATCTTCCATCTGTTGGTTCACTTCCCCAAATTACCAGAGCTGGACTGATCCAAAGCCAGGAGCCAGGAGCTTCTTCAGGTTCTCCCACATGGGTACAGTGGCCCAAGGACTTGGCCTGTCTTCCACTGCTTTCCCAGGGACATTAGCAGGGAGCCGGATCTGGGATGCAGTGGCTTTACCTGTTATACCACAGCACCAGCTCCCACATCTGCTTTATAAGCACCATCAAAGGAAGTTCCTCAGGTTTTTATAGATAGTAGATGCTGATAATCACATCAAGAAATAAAAAACACTAGTAAAATACCTTCTTACGTAAATATTATAGACAGTATAATTTTTTTTTGATAGGCAGAGTGGACAGTGAGAGAGAGAGAGAGAGAGAGAGAGAGAGAAAGGTTTTTCTTTGCTGTTGGTTCACCCTGTAATGGCCGCCGTGGCCGGCGAGCTGCGGCCGGCGCACCGCGCTGATCCGAAGGCAGGAGCCAGGGGCTTCTCCTGGTCTCCCATGGGGTGCAGGGCCCAAGCGCTTGGGCCATCTTCCACTGCACTCCCTGGCCACAGCAGAGAGCTGGCCTGGAAGAGGGGCAACCGGGACAGAATGCGGTGCCCCAACCGGGACTAGAACCCGGGGTGCCGGCGCCGCAAGGCAGAGGATTAGCCTATGGAGCCATGGTGCTGGCCAGACAGTATAATTTTTTGATAACTCTTCTGTAAAAGGCAACCACATAGAGAATATTGATGTATATCATGTATAAAGATAATTTGTGTGTATGTGTAAGCTGTATATTATGTATAAAGATGTAATTTTCATGACAACCATAGCACAAAGGAGTTGTGGAAGGTATGGGACTACATATGAGCAAAGTTTCTGTATACTGTTGAAATTTAATTATTATTAATCCAAGTAGATTGCTTTAAATTAATATACTGATAGTAATCCACAAAGAAACCAGTAAGAAAATCAATTTTAAAATACAGTAAAAGGAAATACAAATTTAAAGTACAGTAAAAGAAATCAGGGAACTAAAATGATAACACCAGAAAACGTCTATTTAACAAAAAAGGACAACAATGAAAGAGGAGGAACACAGATACAGGCATATAGAAAACAAGTGATGACTATAAGAAGTAATAATATGACTATAATAATAATTACAGCAAATGTAAATGAATCAAACAGTGGAGTTAAAAGTTTGTTGGCATGTAACCCCACCATGAGTAAGGGACATCTGTACATGCATTCGCATCTAAGAAGAGTGAGTCCCCAGGAGGGTGGGCATATCTACACCCAGAGTAGGGTGCATGGGGACACCAAGAAAGCCTACGTGTGAGTGAGGCAGAAGGACAGGAAGGCAGAGGGCTCCCCTCTGTCACAGCGCTCTGAAACCAGACTCAATAGCATCTAAGAATCACTGTTAATTTCCCCAAAGATGAGGAGAGCTGAAGCTGCAATGGAGACGGTGCCCCCAGGGGCTGCTCCTGGCTTTGACTTGCTCACAGCAGTCTCCCTGCCCTCCAGGGGAGCTCTGAGTAGGACCTTCTGCCCTTGCTGTGGTGCTGATGCCCCCGGCAGCCCTCCACGACCCTCATGTTCTGCTCTGTGTAGATCTTTTCAGAGTGGTTTCCTTGCTAATACAGACACTTTAGAAACCGCCTGGTTTGGATGCTAGTTCCCCCTTTGCTAGCTGTGTGACCTTGAGCCAGTCATGGAATCTTCTGCACTTGCTTCCTTTCGCCCCAGCAAGACGTCAAGGAATTGTCAGCCATTGTCACTGTCCTCCCTGTATCTGCCTAGGGCTTCTAGTTGGCACTCCATGTGTTGGCTGCAAACAGCCCTCAGGGAGCAGAGGAAAGGGCCACTGGTGTGCAGGGAGAGGCTAAAGGAATGAGCGAGAGGGTCACTTCTGGAAATGAATCTCCCTTCTTGAGGCACTTACCCACCCCCTGGGTCCCCTAGCCCTCTCTTTGTTCAGCCTCTGGGAGGCATTTCTTGTTGGTTCTACCTGCCTTTCCACCATGGTGGCTACTGAAACCAGAAAGGAAGAGATCCTTAGAGTGACAGCTGCTCCGTCTGTGTGAAGGTCAGCTACTGTTAAGTTCATGCCCTACATCTTTTTGTTGTGGTTTTTAAAAAACTGAATCAAACACAAATAGACTGCTCCAAGCCTTGTGTTGCCCAAGAGTTTTCTTGTTCCTTCTCCAAATGAGTTCTCCTTTTCTCCTCCTCTGCCATCCCATCGACTTTGCCTCATTCCTCTCTGCCAGAACCTTGCCTCAGTAACCTTTCACAGTGCTGGTTCCTGGCTGACCACCGTGCTGGAGCTGCCTTGGTTCTGGGAGAACACAATTTTCTCGCTTTCTGCCACTGAGTTGGTTTCTTTGAAATAACATTCTTGTTGCTGTTTTTCCCAACACCTCCCAGGTCACAGCACTCCCTGGGCTGCTGGCCTAGGACATTCTAGGGAAAGTCAAGGTCAGCCCTCCCTCTGGGCTAGGCAGAGAGGACTTGGGTCCTGGCACCCAGGGCCTGGCCCAGCACATGGCCATGGTGAGAAATCTTCCTGCCTCCCGGAGCAGATTTTCTGGATATTTCTGATTAATAAGCTATCAAATGGGAAAAGGAGGCTATAAATACCAGCATTTCAGTTGAGGAAGAAGTTCAATTTCTAAAATTTGACCCAGAAGAAAAGCCTCACATTTTCTCTCCTGTGAGTTCACCCCTGACTGAGCTCAGGAGGAGGAACACACCTCAGTGACTCAGTCTGGAGCTGGGGGCAGGGGCTCAGGACCTAGCACCACAATTAAAAGAAGCCCAAAGACACACAGGGATTTTCTTCCGAGCGTCTCTAAGGGCTGTAAAAATAGCAGTGGATCTTCACAGGAGCCTTCAGTGAGGCAAGGAGGAAGGGGGCTTGGTTCTGGGGAGATGGAGACCCCGATTTGGGAGCATGAGAGGACCATGGCCATGAAGCAGAATGCCTTTCACCTGATGGAATCAACACTGCTTTGATGCTGACAAACCACTTATTTGAGACAACGCTGAAGAGCTGCGTGTATCAAGCACCTTTTATAGGCTGGGCCCTGGGTAAGATGTTTGACACAGCCCATCTGCGCAGTACTCATTATGTAGGTTCCATCCTTACCCCCAATTTACTGATGGGAAAACTGAGATTCAGACGGGTTTCCTAACTCAGGTTACGCAAGTGGCAAATGAAGAAACTTGGAGATTTTGTAACTCAACTCCCTCCCCACCAAAACTACCGCCTTCCCTGTGTTCTATTCCTTGGCTCAGCAACCAGTGTGTAAATATGTTTCAACAACCCCGACAACAATCCTGCCCTCTGGGCTGGTAACCCCACTTCTGACAACTTCTTTTTATGAAATAATTCCAGATGCAGAGTGAGTGTCATCCAGTTCAGCATGCTAAGGACAAGCTGGAGTTTACCTCTTTTCTTCCCAAATCCCAGTGAAATGACAGAAGAGCAGAAGCAAGAATAGGGTCATAGTGGTTGTGGACAGTCAGGAGGAGGAGGAGGGTTAAAGTCCAGAAGATTAAGGACTTTCTGGGAGAGGAAAGACAAATATAGGAACAGATTAATGGTGAAATAAAACAGAAGCTGCAGCGCTGCAGAGCCAGAGGCACAGTCATCACAGAGTGAAATCTCCCAGCAGAATTCCAGAACAGAGCAGTAAGCACTAGGAGAGAATGAGCTAAGGATGGACTGCAAGGCAGATGGCTGAGCTAGGGCCTTACCGCTGTCCACTAACCGTTGCCCTGGACACACAATCACCTGAGGCATCTTCAGCCAGAGGAGTAGGATTCTTACATGGAGTAGGGAAATGTCATTCAGCTACCAGCACTGTTTAGTCCACGCATACATCTGCAAATATCAACAGCAGCAAGAATTGCTGGTCTTTTCAGAAAAGCCAGAGCCTAAGAGAGGCACCAGGCCGGCACCGCGGCTCACTAGGCTAATCCTCCACCTTGCGACGCCGGCACACCGGGTTCTAGACCCAGTTGCCCCTCTTCCAGGACAGCTCTCTGCTGTGGCCAGGGAGTGCAGTGGAGGATGGCCCAAGTCCTTGGGTCCTGCACCCCATGGGAGACCAGGATAAGCACCTGGCTCCTGCCATCGGATCAGCGCGGTGCGCTGGCTGCAGCACACTGGCCGCGGCGGCCATTGGAGGGTGAACCAACGGCAAAGGAAGACCTTTCTCTCTCTCTCTCTCTCTCTCACTGTCCACTCTGCCTGTCAAAAAAATAAAAATAAAATAAAAAAAAAAAAAACAAAAGCAAGAGAGGCACCACACGGAGATGACACTGACTCCATGAAAGCTACAATGTCCTCCCAAAACAGAAGAAAACTTTAACAACTAAAACGAATGTCCCAGGAGAGTTGAGAGACTCTCTCATGCATTTAAAAGTCAACAGAGCCTCTATAAGAAAGATATCATCAGGGTTATTAGACATTAAAACCATAGTTGCTAAAATTTAAAAAAATAGTCAATAAATGGGCCAAATGGACAAGTGAACACTAAATTAATACACTGGAAGATGAAGCTAAGGAATTCTCTCAAATTGTATTATGAAAAAAAAGATAAATTTTTAAAAAAAATAAGTGAAAATGAAGTATAAAATGAAACATTGATAAATACTTCTCATGGGAGTTACAGAGGTGAGAACACAGAGAATGAGTAGAAAGGAGTTAAAAAGATATAGTAGAAGAAAACACCTTAGTGCTGAAGGCAGATGTTAGCAAAGTACCCACTGAGAGCTATATGAGAATGCAAAGCAAGCATCTAAAACTCAGTATTTTATTTTATTTTTAAAGGTTTATTTATTTACCTGAAAGTCAGAGTTACACAGAAAGAGGAGGAGAGGCAGAGAGAGAGGACTTCTATCCACTGGTTCACTCCCCAATTGGCTGCAATGGTTGGAGCTGCACTGATCTGAAGCCAGCAGCCAGGAGCCAGAAGTTTCTTCTGGGTTTTCCCTGTGGGTGCAGGGGCCCAAGGACTTGGGCCATCTTCTTCTGCTTTCCCAGGCCACAGCAGAGAGCTGGATCGGAAGAGGAGCAGCCAGGATTCAACCCAGCACCCATAGGGGATGCTGGCACTGCAGGCAGCGGCTTTACCCACTACGCCACAGTGCTGGTCCTAAAACTCAGTATTTTAAAAAGGCAGTAAATCTAATAGAAAAGTAATAGATTATAAAGATGGCTAACAA